CCACCTCTTCCTTTTCAGTCGCTAGGAGAAACTGCTTGTTTTGTCTAGACTTTAGGCTGAAGTCACTCAGTCTTCCAGGTGGGTGTCTTCATGGTGAGTCAACACCACCCCACACCCCAGACTGCCTGCCCAGAATGCAGTCCCAGAAACTAACCCTGCTCTTCCTCCTACAAAATACTAAGCAGAAACATCTATCCCATGTGGAGGCAGCTATTTGGAGTTAAAGTTTATCCTCATTATGGGCCTCTGATATCTCCATTGTCTAGATTTTCAGCTTTCTACTGTGCCATCCATTGAATGCAAATGCTGACAAATTGCTTTAAGCAAATCCCAAACCTGTGTGTGAGGCTGTCTGCAGCTGACAAGAAATGTGTTGGCAAAAGTTAAGATAACAGAACCTGAGGCTTTGAGGGCCAGCCTTTCTCTTGATCTGATGGGAGACAAGAAAAGAGTGACCCCCTCTTTGGGCATCTGTGGAGGAAGGGGGGAACTAGACTTAGTACTCTGAGACAGGACAGGAGATTGAGGTTCAATGTGACCAGCAACCCTTAACTGTGCCCTGCAGTGCTAAAATGGTTCTAGTAAGAGTCTAACAAAACCTTCATAGTGGTTTGACTAGACCCACTTGAGCCTATGGAATTGAGTTTGAGGTGACAAATCAATGGGTTTAGCAGTCTAAGAGGGATGCCCAAGGATGTGCTTTGTGTTGAGCTGTCTTCAGTGATGATTCTTCATCCCAGGGTGTTGGATGTGCACCTGAGTTTTAGGGTTATTATTGTATTCTTGCCAGAAGTTCAAGATCCCCATAGTAGGGGGCACATTTGAGATGCTTCTTCTGACACATCTATTGTCCCTGATCTTCATCTTCTTCATGAAAGTAAGGGCCTGAGGTTTTGCCAGGAGAGAATGGCCACAGAAGATAGGATTTAGATGATGATTACTGCTACTACTGAAAAGATAGAAGAAACATTGACTAGATGGTGGGTGAATGTAAAAAAATATTAAAAAATGTAAAAATTGGAGTGCTTAGGGTTCATAGCCAACTGAAGGCACTGATACTCTTATTTTTTTGAAGTAGCAGTTCAGGATGTTGCAGGGTGTCTTCACAGCTCAGGTTTGTTTGTGCTCCGTAGGTGCAAGGTAGCAATGCAGTGGAATTGCCTTTGCCTTGGCCTCCGGTGCCTGTACTTTGGCTTGAAAGGCATTAAGTGTGTCCCTGAAGGGAAACTTCAAATTTGGTTTTACATTGATGGAATCCAGTTTGCATGCACCAGAGCTGCCCAGCTATCGCAAATAAAAGTGTAATAAATACAAACAACTGGAGGATTTATTTTGAATATTCATTGTTTTTGCAAACTAAATTGCACCCAATATGGTTGCTACAAGAACAAGCAAGCAAAGAAAGTTTTGTAGAATAATTTATATTGGAAGGGACTTCAGGAAGCCACTTAGTCCAGTACTTTAAAGCTATTTGGATAGCTAATTTGTCAATGTGCCTTTTTGGTGTGGAGGTCTAAGTTTTGTGCTTAGGTTAACAGGTTTCAGACTGAAGCATGAACTTTGTATTTAAGATGACAGGGGATCTGCTATGTTTTAGAAGTAGTCGTGTACATAGATATTTGTTGGGGAGTGGTGATAAGGATATCATTGCTATGAATGCTATATTTAAAATGCTAGGGTGTAGTTCGATCTCAAACAGATTGCTTCACATTTTGGTTTGGAATTAAAATAAAGAGTAACTTCACACAGAACAGGTCTGCAGTATGCAGTGATTCATCTAAGGTGAAGTTTCCATATATTTAACAAGCAGAATTCTTGTTTGGCTTCAGCTCATGTTTAAAGAAATTGATTTAGCACTTAGCATTCAAACTCAATAATTTACTAGTGCCGTCTTGTGTGTGTGGACTCACCTGTTAAAAATTAATCTCTTTCTTAGGGATTAATAATATGGCCTTTGAATGAATTCTCCTTTTGAGCCAGTCTTCTGTGAATTTCTGTCTTTCATGGTAACAGAAGAAGTTGGGGGAGGCCAGGGAAGAGCTGTATAAATTGTTCCTTATACAAGCATTGAATTCTGATGGCTTATCTAAGGCTTTTTAACTGTTTCTGAAAAATATCTGTAATTTACCTGTTACCTTTACCAGGTGTTTGGTATTAAAAAATTGCTGTGAAGTAAGAAGGCTGCTGTTTGACAGTGGTCAAAACTAAATGTAATAGTCAAAAGGATATATTTATTGTTATTGCTTTCTCAGTGAGATATCTTTGACTTACTTGAGGTGTGCCAGAGATTATTTTTTATTGGTGGAATAAAATGTTTATCTGAGGCTTGTCTCACACTGTGCTGGTTCTCAAGGTAAAGAAAATGACTCCTTCTTAATGAACAAATCCTCTTCCATTCCCTTCAAGTAAGCCAGCCAGTTAATTTTAAACTTGAGTCAAAATTGTGGATCCCACAGTGTAATTACAGGTATGCAGATATATTCTGTCAAAACATTGCTTTTCATTACTGATCTTGGAATAGTTGTTCCTGTCTGTTGTGACACTGATTTCTTACTAACTTTTAGGAGGATATAACTTGTCAGTCTAGGAAAAAGAGTTTGAAAAAATTGGATAGTAGATCCTATATGAAAAATCTGCATTAGTACCCAAGCATGTAAGGTAGAAAATACAATACCAATTTAAAAAAAGAGAAGATGGGGATAGGTGTCATCGAAGATCAGAGAGGAAATAAGTCCTGTAAGCTTGGTATCTGGACTGGACAAAGGAGTATAAACAATAAGGAATAAAATAGTTGGTGTCCGGGTGAACATTTAACTAGTTGGTGAAAATTACATACCAATTTGAAAGGAAGGTTATGCTCCTCCAACAGAGGGTTCAAAACTCATTTAGGTAAGGATTGTATGGTTTTTCTTGCTAAGATTTCCAGAAAGCCTCTTGTCAAAATTTTCTTGAAGAAACTAAAGTAATGTGAGACTTAAAAGGTTCTTGCACAGATACCTAATTGGTTATGAAGTAGGGATGAAGGGATGGGGTGTTTTTCAGTCCTCACCACCTGTACTGCATGTTAGCAAGTATGAAAATTGGCTTATAACCATTCAGTGAGGTTTTCTTGGTGGATCAGCAAGGGCTGGTCCTAAATATGGAGAATTATAGTAAGCTCTTACAAGACTGGGTGGCTGAGTGATAAAACAGTGCATAAACTTTTATGTAGATAAATGTAGAGTAATATAAGTGGATAAAAAATTGTAACAGCACATGTAAAATGATAGCCTCTGAGCTGAGTGCATTTCTATGCATATAGAGGCAAATGGAACTGTGAGTCTCCCTGGAAACAATGGGTTTTGATTGTTAAGCATCTCTCTTAGTATGATCCCTGGGAAGGGCAAGTCTTCAAAAACAACAAAAACTTGTTGAAAATAAACAAAAGGTAGTGGTTTTATTCCTGCAAGGTATGAAAGGTTGTGCCATGGGCTTTTACCGCTGTTGGAGGTTTACATGGTCTTACTGGGGGGCTGTATAAGCTCATGCAGAGAAACTGAAAATAGCTAAATATGTAGGAATCACATTTGAATCATATCCACATCAGGAAGTCTCTGAGCTTCGAAATGAGTAGTTTCTCAAAGAGTAGTAGTAGAAAATATCATATATAATTTCCTTGCTTTTCATTTTCCCTGAGCACATGCTGTTGGCTGTTGTCTGAGTTAGGATACAAGAGCTTTAATGAGGAAGGTTTTCATATAGATCAGATGTAACTTTTCCTGAGAATTTCAGTGCCGAGACTTAGAGAGGTTGGTCCATCCTTTTTTCTTCATTAAGAATTAATGACCACTTTTTCATCAAGAAATGACAAGTAAGATAGTCTGCATTTGTATTGGAAAGAGTGACTTTAAATTCTTCTGATTTTTCAATTAGAAAACAGAAAATTCATCTGCTTTTGTCATTTTAGATCTAGAACTGTTAGATTTATCATCAAGAAAGTCTGTATTTTGAAAATATTTTGCATAGCATGAGTGCAGTGTGATGCTGATTACTGTTTTGTTACCAAAATACAGTGGACATTCTTGGTTGGTATTATTTTTTATATAAAATTGGATAAATTTTCTCACTGTACATAAATAAAGAAGTAAAATTTCTCCTTCTATGCATCTGCAAATTATTCTTTTACTTTTGCCCTATTCATATTAATTCAAATTTTCTCTATTGCCATGAAAGATACTCAGTAAGGAAGGGATCAACAAGTTAACTCTCACTGATAGTTGAAGATGAACAAAATGACAGCTTAGTAAATGAAAGCAGATGATAAATAGAAGTATAAATAGATAATAGTAGATAAATAGCTTAGTAGATGAGACCAGAGACCATCAGAAACTAAAGCTGTAATTCAAGAGAAAATTGTTCCTTTCAACTTGTGGTTCAAATGTATACCCTCTGTCTTTAGCAAGTGATGCTCTCTTATTTATATTCTGGTATATCATGATGTTCTTTATTCTTTACATAACTTTGCTGTGAAAGAACATGTTTCTGATGAGTCTTTCTGAGAGCTGACAGTATGGCGGCTTCTGCCTTTTTCATGTTTTGTCAGCCAACAGCTTGGATAACAAAAATATTGTTGATAAAATAGTTCCAAAATGTTGAGATTACTTTAAATGTGCCTTTTCTGTATGTCCTATGATTGTTTTTGTTTCTTTCTGTGCTCTTATTTTCTTTCTTGAAATTTTCCATTACCCAGAGGGAGATAATGCAGTATGCTAATTTTTATTTCCATTCTCAGCTTTTTATTATATGCAAAGGCAGAGCTACAGTGCTAAGCAGTTTTAAAAGGGAGAAGCAAATAAAGTAGTGAAGCACAACTACCTCCATGGTAATGGTATTCATTGTTTTAGTCACTAACTATTGTAATTCATTAGAGACAGCTAATAGAGTCTGAAAGGCTGAATTGTTACTTTTAAAACCAGTGAAAACCAATAAGCATAATTAAACTGCATTTTAATTTACTTCAGAAATACAAGCCTGGTCGATGTGATGATATTTTGAAATGGAAGCCACCCAGCCTGAACTCAGTTGATTTCCGTCTAAAGATAACAAGAATTGGTGGAGAGGGGTATGTAATCTCTTCCCTTTTTAAATCTGTAACACTCGTGTGAATGTCCCTTAGCACTTAATCTGTCCTCTGATATTTCTTGACACTTCCTGAGGCTAAGCCTTCCTATATTCTCTAGAACTTGTTCATTCAAAATATAAGCAACTGTTGTAATTAGTGTTGTATTGAAAACAATGGCAGATGTTTATATTGTGAATTTACTCATTCTTAAATTAAGTTTCTTCAAATTTCTGAAAAAAGTCCCATTTGGATTTGGCACTAGACTGTATGTTTTTGAGAGTAGGCAGGCTCTATTAGCTTAAATTCCTGAAACTGTTTTTCATTGATTTTAGACAAAATGATAACAGCCAAAGCTTTCTTCTACTTTAGAATTGTGCACAATGACAAACAGTACTTGTTTTCTTAGAGGAAAACAGAGCCTGACATTTTTACTTGTTAGGGATTCTTTGGTATTGTTCTTAAAACTGTTAAAATCATAATCAAAACCAGTGAGTTTTAATGGCAGAAGACATGAAAAATCTTTACATTGGTCCTGTGTGCTATTTGTGTAGTTCAGTCACTGCACATATTAAATAGGGGTTATTTCCATGTTTAGTTGTGCTGGGGAGGGGAAGGGAAAGACTGAATCACTAGATTAAGCTTGCTTTGAAAAAGATTTTGTTTAAAATGAAATGAATGATTTTTAGGTTGCTTAGTGTTTTAACATCTGGGACTCATTTCAACTGACAGTGTGAAGTACTGACATTTAACTTTTCTTTTTCTTGGTGCCATAGGCAACTCAATATGATTGAACAATTAAGTCAAATATTGCTTGCATATTCCAGAGTGCTAATAATCACTCATTTAACTTTTAGACATCTCCATGTCACATTAATGAAAATATTTGGTGAATAGAGGGAATCTTAAGGATATGGGGGTTTTATGCAAAATATACTCAACTGATAAGTTCTCAGTGTTTCATGAGGTCAGAATTATCTGTTCAAATTTTTGTGTTTGAAAAGGCAGTACTAAGTCTTCAGTAACAGCATAACTATTTCAGACAATGCACAGAAATACTTAATTTTATTTCAGATAATCAGCTCATTACAACATTTTGTTTGTTTGCAATTTATTTAAGTCACAAGATAATGTAATATGAAAGATTTATATGAAAGTTCCTTTAAAAATTGCCCATTATTTCATAGGAAGGTTATTTTTTATTAGACTATTCTTATGACTTCTGCTGGAGTTTACACATATACAATACTAGCTTGTGATTCAGAAACACAATGCAACACATTTTTCATTTTACATTAATAAAGGCATATTGGTTGATTAGTTATCTCTGATTTCAAATGCAAAACTGTCAGTGCTGTTGTGTTATGTTTAATATATTACATCACAGATTGTTTGATTGGAATGTGAAAAGGTTATAAAATATGAGCCAGCAAAAAAGCTCTTTCTAAAAAGTTAGTAGCAGTTAATAACAAGAATGTTGTTAAAGAATGGCTGCTCCATTGTAGAATTGGAATAACTTTCTACTATTTAGAAAAGTTCTATCATATTTCAGCTATATGAAAATGAGAGCAGTTCTTATATTATGGAAATAACTACCTGAATTATTCTGTAAATAATGTAATATTTAAATATGTCAGTGTTTATGCTGCTCTCACATGCATATGGAAAATTCTAGAAATCTGATTTTTCATAAATAAAGTACAGTTCTTCCAGGTAAGTTTTACTCCATCACACATGACAATTGATGGCAACTAGTAATGTAAGTGCATTCATTCAACAAAAATAAAATTTAATGAAGTATGAGGCAGAAAATATTAACTTAGCATTCTTGGGAGAGAGGTATTTATCTTAAATAATGTCCTATGAAGCAGTAGCTTCTGCTCAGTGAAACGCAAACTGATTGAAGTACTCCAGGTTTGCCTGCTTCAGTTGTTACTTCGGGTAAAATCTAAAGTAATTTGAAGAAACTTCAGAATAAAACAGGTTTTGAAATTGTTGACCCGAGTTGTAAAAGAAGCATCTTTAACTTTAGACTGTATAAAGACAGTTCCTGAGTTCTGAGCACTAACTAAGTTCTGTTTGATTTGATGAACTGAGTGTCTTGCTACTGCCATTCTAATGTGACATCAATGGGCTTCCTGCCTTCTCCCACCACACTGAGATTAAAAGCAAGCATTGATACTGGTTTCAGCTTTTTAGGTAAAGAAAATTTTCTTCTTCTCTAATCCAGAAAGGAATTACAGCATTACAGAATGGGTAGGGTTGGGAGGGGACCACAGTGGGTTGATCATCTGGTCCAGCCTTCCTGCTCAAGCAGTGATCCTAGAGCTCATGGCACAGGATTGCATCCAGATGCTTCTTCAATATGTCCAGTTGAAGGAGACTCCACAACCTGTCTGGGCAGTCTATTCCAGTGCTTGGTCACTCATACAGTAAATAAGTTCTTCCTCTTGTTCAGATGGAACTTCCTGTGCATCAGTTTCTGCCTATTGTGTGTTGTCCTATTCCTTGGCACCACCAAGAAAAGCCTGGCTCCAACCTCTGACATCTCCCTACAGATGATGATGAAGTCCCCTCTCAGTCTTCTCTTCTCGAGGCTGAACAGGCCCAGCTGCCTCAGCCTTTCCTTGTAAGAGAGCTGCTCCAGTCTCTCAGTCATGCTTGTTGCTCTCCACCAGACCTGCTCCAGGAGCTCCAGGTCTCTCCTGTACTGAGAAGCCCAGAATTGGGCACAGCACTCCAGATGTGGCTTTACAAGGGCAGAGTAGAAGGTCAGGATCACCTCCCCCGACCTACTGGCAGTGCTGTTCCTAATGCATCCTAATGCAGGATACCATTGGCCTTTTTGGCACAAAGGCACTGCTGGCTCATGGATAGCTTGTACTCCAACAGAAGCCCCAAGTCCTTCCCTGCAAAGCTGGTTTCCAGCTGATCAGCCCCCAGCCTGTAGTGGCACATGGGGTTGGTTATTCCTCCTCACATGCAGGACTGTGTGCATTTGCCTTTGAATTTTAGAGAGTTCCTCTCTGCCCCTCTCTCCAGCCTGCTGAGGTCCTTCTGAAGTGCTGCAGAGCCCTCTGGGGTATCAGTCACTCAGCTTTGTGTCATCAGTAAACTTGCTGAGGAGGCCTCTGCCCCTCCATCCAAGTCATGGAAGAAGAAGTTAATCAATACTGGGCCCACTACTGAACCTTGGGGGACATCACTAGTGACAGGCCTCCAACTAGACCCTGTGCCACTGCTCCTGACCGTCTGGGCTCTGCCATTGAGCCAGTGAATCTGTTGGGCATTTGACAACAAAATACTACAGATTTGGCTGAAGTACTGTTACAGAATTTACAGAAGTTGCATGTTGTTTTGGCACAGATAGGCAAATGACATTTAAAGAAATAGAAGGTATGCCTTTGTATTGATCTCTTAAAGACAAAAAAGGAGCCCAAGTTAAAGTATTGATTTCAAATACATAACAGCTTGAAAAAGGGACAGGGATTCTCTGTAATTTCCAAGTCCTCTGTTCTGATTTACAGGCTCATCCTTAAATCTTGAAATGCGAACATAACTAAACCTGTGCTTCAGTTGTGTGTGACCTTATCGCAGTTTACAGCCTGGGCAGTAGTGTTACAAACTGAACCAAACCACAAAGCTACAGCCATGCAGCCCTTGCATTTATAGTTCCCTACTCACTCAAACAGTGAAAAAAAACCCAACATATAGGAGCATTATTTATTCAGTAGCATGAGATTAGAGTTCTGTCGGCTGTTGGACATGTCTTTTAGATAGCATATGTAATTGAGATTCTGAACAATTGTAAACAATCTTGTGCATTTTTCATCTGAATAAAGGAATTACCTCTGGGGAGTTTGCCAGATTTTAGTCAGTGTGATTATTTTCCATCTATGTAAATTCCCCTGTGTTTTGAGTTGAGCATTTCCATCTCTAGATCAGTTTGCAATAGAAGTGTTAACTGCGAAATAGCTGCTGTTTCACCCCAGATGTAGTCCTGTTACGGATGAATGACCATTTGCTTTTATCTGGGCTTCAGTTATTTCACTCTTGATATTGGAGGGAGTTTTGCCGTTGAATTAAAAAGAATTCGTTTTACCATCTGTGAAGTACTTTTAGAATAAGCCTGATAAAGATGAAGACCACATAACAAACAATAAACATAAAGAAAAAATATACTACTGCATTTCAAAGAAAGGCAGGGTTTCTGTAACCTCAGTGACCTAATACTGACACTCCTGTTCAGTGCACATATTTGAAAGAAATTGCATTATTGCACCTTAGTGAGTTACATCTTATCAGCTGAGCCTTGGTAATTGTCTCCTGTGTATTATCATAGTCCAGCCTTCCCAAACATCAGGATAATGGTTAGATTAACTCTTTTGTGTTGTGTTTGCAAGAATTTCAGCTTGTGCTCTCTCTCAATCTCTTCTCATTACGTCAATGTAGTTAGTCTTAGTTAAAAAAAAACACCAAAACCCCCTAACACAAAACCCTTCAGTAACAACCAATGACTCATTAGATCAGCTAAACAAGAGAGTACTTCGTTGTTGGTCTCTTATAAAACACAGCAGTTGAACTGAAAAGCCCTAACATTACATGTGTTTTTAAAAGGCTGACCCACTTCCCAGCACTTCTCTTTCATTTCAGATTTATTAGAACAATGGCCTCATGTATACCTTGTATTTTCCTGAATTATGATGATGTTCACAAAAAAATAAAATAAGAGGGTCTTAAGCACATTAACTGCTTTTCCCAATTACCTACAAGTTAAATAACCCTATCAGTAGAGAATGTGATGGATGTTTATTTTCTGTGTGCAGATTCTCACTTATATTACAGGGAAGACTGCTGTTAAATAGTAGAGATGATTTTTCTCAAAATGTTTGACTGTATTAATATTTCTTAAAAAGCTAAAAACCCCCAAACTAACTCTTGAGTCTTATTTAAATGTCACAAATAGCAACTGAAAATGTCACATAGTACCATATTTCTGGTAG